TAATTTTAAATCTGTTACAATCTTAATAGTGATAGGAAAAAAATAGATTGCAGTATGCTATAAAATAGTGTTTTTAAAAATACTATAGTCTAAAGGTAGAAATTGTAGTTATTAATTGGTTTCAGTTTAGTGGCACTATTACAGCAGTATCTATTCCAAATAATGCTTAAAAAAGTAGTATACTTATTTATGGAGTCCAGTTATGTATCAGCCTGCTCTGCTTTACTTGCCTATTGCTTTCTGATATAGCTTCCAAATTAAGGGTTTTCTTTTCATGTATTGAGCTATGTTTCAGTTTGGAAACTGAATGCAGAAGTGGTATTCAGTGGTAGCTAATGCTTTTGTGTTTCAAGTAAACATTTTCAATATAGTGAGGGAGAATGTATTTTCACTTTTTTGCCTAGGAATTTCACTTTTCGCTCAGCATAGTCTTTCCCTCCCTTCTAATGAAGCAGTGTGCACTTGGTATGTGCAGAAATTGAGAATTGTGAAGTACAGTAATGTAGGTTCAGATTATTTCCACTAACAGAACATACATATTGTTTTTCTTGTCTTTATGATCTTCTTACCAACTATGTAATAGAATAAAAGCTTTATTATTGTCTTAAGTTTGGAGGTAGTCTGAATTTGACTTAACATCTGTGATTATTTTTATATTTTGAAAAATAACTGCATAGATTTAAGGTTATTCCTCTTTGTGCAGTGCAGTCTGTTTTCTTCCTTTTTTACTACAGTCTGCCAATTAATTTTGGCATAGAGATTCAAGTCTGTGCTGGAATTATTGTGCGTTTTGTAATTTTAAATGCGGGTAGAGGGGAGAAATATCAGGGTTCCTGGTGTGTTGGCATAAAGGGTGGTGAAGATGACAAAATGGCAGCTATCAGTCTGCTTTTTCCCCCCCCATATCTTTCTGTTTGTCTTCCTGTCTGTCTCTGTCTTTTTCTCCCATGGGGTTTAAGAAATAATGGATATAAAAATTGAGATAAAACTATATTTTCATTTATTCATTCAGCTAATGGAGAAATTGATAATTAGTGGGTTAATTCATTCAGGTTTCTTCTGACTTAACCAGAATCAGTCTTTGCCCTCAAACTAAGTAACCCTCTTTCCTGAGATGGCTTCATTCCATCTGGTTTTCATTTCTAGATGGACAGAAGCCTTGTCCAGACAAACTGAGTAGAAAAGGCCAGTAGAGCTCCTTGTTCCTCCTCTCTGTATTATCTGTTAAACTCCTGTGCCCAAGGTGAGGAGGGCTGCGGTTGTCCTTAGTCAGGCAAAGCCTTCACTGCAGCATCCAAGTGAATCTTGCTAGCTGTTGTAGAAACAGTCTTACCTCTTTTCAGCAGTCTCATCAAACTTGGCAGGGCAAGAGGGCTGGAATAGTTAATTTTAATTGTCTAACTAATTTAAGGCTTTTACAATGACACCCTTCTGGGAAAAGAAATACTGTGACAGTATTTGTGGTGTTAGGGGCTAGCTACTCCCCTAGGCAATAAGGCTGTGGGTGGGGAATCTGACACAACTATAAAAAGTCAGTAAAATGAATTATTTATTTCTGAGGAGGAAATTGATATCTGCAGTTCATATGGAAATTCTCTGCATTATGAAGTTAGTGGCCACAGTAGTAGGTGTTCACAAAGATGGCAAGTTGCAGTTGAGTTCCAGTGCTTGCCACAACACTGCTAGGCAAGTGCCATCCATCTGCTTGGAGCTGGAGCTGAAGCAGCAGGATGGTTGTGCTGCTGCTTGAAGCAATGTTCAGCTGCAGCCACTGCATAGTCATGAGACAGTGTTGAGAAAGGGACTGTTTTCCTCAAGCTGAATCCTTTATTAAGCTATGTCTTCTCTTTTGGGTGTAGTAAAACACTGCTTTTTAATTGCTTTTGGTAAGAGTAGAGCAAGACTGGTTTTGTCAGGTGAGTCTTAGGACTGCATTTCAATGACAGGGTATGGCCAGTTTGAATATACTGTTCCTTCCCTGCCAAACATAGTGGAACAAAAGTGCTGCACTGTGTAAAGGAAATTCCTCTGCTGTGCATGTTGGGTAGATCTGAATTTGAAATTAGCATGTCAGTTCATTGCTTTGCCATGATACAAACTTCTCTTGTTAGTCCCTCTCCTCACTTTGCCTATGTCAAACTAAAACCCCTCCTGAAGTGCCAGCTTCAACATTATGTAAGTGGGCATATTTTGTCTCAATTACAGCAATTAGTATTCGGTCATATTTCATGTTTAAACCCAAGAGTTGACATGTCAACAATCTGGTCCAGCTTGAAATGGGACTGTTTTTTGTCAAAGAAGTGAGCATTTTTATATTGATTGTTACAACAGAAAGCTTTGCCAGCTAACTGAACATAGCAGGTTGAGAGATGCTAGTTAACTTTCTTTTAACAGATAACAAATTCTAGAACCAGAGCAGGAGGAATAAGAGGAAGGAGGGCATATATGTGTACTTGATATGTGGACTTTCCTTCTTTCTAGCAATGCTGCAGGGGTGTGTGGCCCTGCTTCTCGTGGGAGTAAAGATTTGGGTGTGAGAAAGCAGCCAAGATGCTGCTTTAAATCTGTTTAAAGCCAGACACTGCAAACTCAACAGCAACAGAAAACTTGTGTCTGTAAAATACTTCTCCTCTACCTTGTTCATATTAATACTACAAGTGATGCTGATGCTACTGACTGTGAATCTACTTAGGTATCAAGGACACTGTAAACAATTCTGTATTTTAAACTTGCAGCACAGCAGCACTCCATAATGGAAGTGCACCGGCCCATTAGCAATATGGTTAGTGGGAAGTGAGTGGCCAGAGAAGTAGACTTGAGATCTCAACTTTGAGCAAATACTTACTAGTTTGGGTTAGTAATGTTCCATATTTGACAGTGCTCCATGAGAAGCAATGCGACTTGAACGTTTTATAAATGAACATATTTACAAAGGAAGAAGAGAATTTCTCTTTTCCTGTCAGTTGTCTTAAATTAATCTCCTGACTAAGCTTACAAAGTATGTCTTCAAGCTTTTCTTTAAATCCAATTTAACAATGGGTGATTGTGGATTTTTGTGGATTATTTGATATACACTTACATGTGTATTTTCAGCTTCTGTGTGAGTACATCCAATACTGGATGTGCTACTCATTTTCCCTTACCTACTATATAGACCTGTTAACCAGTTTGGTTTATGTCCTTAGTAATTGGATTACTCACAAAAGACTCTTAACACACATTAGGATAGTAGAGATGTAACCCAGATGCATTTGCAGGGGAGGGGGAGGAGTGTGGTTTGTTTTTTTTTTTTCCTCTCTTTGACCTAGAGCAATTACACATGCTAACGTGCAGAAAACCTTGAAGCTGAACATGGCATTGGAGTTAATTTCTTTCTTAGCTTCCTTCACAGCCACCCCCCCTCCCCTGCCCCAGTCCTCTTTCCTCTCTGTATTAGCTTGATCTTCTGTAATTTTATCTCAAGACTGCATTTGGGGTCTTCTAGTAGGCTGTAGTTTTCACTTTAGTGCATGGAAGCCCTGAGATTGTTATTCTGAGACTCCAGAGCAGCAAAGGTAAAGGCTGCAGCCTTGCTGTTCATTATTAAATAAGAGTTCTTTTTTCACAGTTAATTTGTAAATTGGAATGGTTGTGTTTTAATATTTCTCCAGCAGCTTAGTTACTTTCCTGTCTTCACTACTGGTTTTGCACTTAGTAATTTTTAAAGGTCCCAAAGTCCACTACTTTAGACCACTTATGTTTGTATTTGCAGCTGACTTTGAGGAAGATGTGGAACAGTTATTGCACTACAGAATTATCCCAAATTTCAAGGCTTATAGGTCAATATCTGTGGCCTAAGTCTACAGTTATCTTGAAGATAAATGCAGGATTGTGCATTTCAGTTCTAGGTTCAAGATTTTTAAGACCTTTCAAAACAGAGGAATATGAAGACCTAATATTTAAAATGTCCATTTTCATTCTGGCTATCAGCCCTCATTAACATCAGCTAGCTTACCCTGTCTTCCTTTTTATTTTGTAAAACTCCATACTTCACTTGCAACCCCCCACTGAAATACGATATGATTTTCATATTGAGTTTTAGTCTGATGTAAGTTTGATTTTAGGTAATACTAGATGTGTGTGCCAGTTGATTGCAGTAGCTGTTAAGAATTTTTAAGGGCCTTCTGGTGTTAAAACTCTTCAACCTTTTAATACTTGATGCATTTTCTGTCCATGTTTTCTGCTCAGGGAAGGACAAAGTGCTTTGAGGTAAGAATCGGACTCGTCTGGTAGGTTGAAGTCCCTCATGGGAGCAAGTGCTTGTGATTTTGAGAATTCTGCTAGCTGCTTGTAGAACACTTCCATTCCCTCCTCATCCTGGTTGGGTTGTATATAACAGACTCCTGCCAGGATATCTGCCTTGTTGGCCTGAATGTGCTGGGCTGATGCAGATGCTGTGGATGCACTGACACATACTGTCAGAGATTACTTTCATGTGGAACATCAGTGCTCATAGGTGTGGTTTGGCTTCCATTGTCGTGTTATATAAAAGCCTACTTGCAGAAGTAAAGGACTTGAGCCTTAATGAAAGGAAAATGAAATCCAAATAAAATGTCCTGGTGTAAACCATGCCAGACAAGAAACTTCCTCCCATCTATTGGAATCTGACACAGATCTTTTCATTCATCCTTTTACTTGCCTTCAGGCTTACCTCCCAGTGGTTGTTAGGCAACCATAATGACATTGCTGAACATTCAGGATGGCTAATTGGATTGTCCCCTTCTTGGGTTTTTTGTTTGAATAGTCTTGGTCAACTTTTATAAAGTAACCACATGCAAGTTACTTCATTGGCTGATGTGATAAAACAAAGGCCTTTTAAGAGTCCTGATAAATGTCAAGGACAAATTTTGAAATCTTTGAGCTTTGACATCATATTTAACTGAAAGTGTAAGAATTTGCCTCTGTCACTACAGAAGTCTTGCTAAATTCTGCCTTTTTTTTTTTTCCTCCTCTTGTTATAGATTCACCAAGTTGAAGAGCCTTAACCTTTCCAATAATAATTTAGGAGACTTCCCACTGGCAGTCTGCAGTATCCCAACCCTGACGGAACTCAACGTGTCCTGCAATGCCCTCAGAAGTGTTCCAGCAGTTGTAGGCGAAATGCACAAGCAAGTACTTTATTAAAACTTAATGTATACAGCCTGAAAATAAAGGCAGCAAGCAGTTTCATGACTCTGTATGTAATCTTGCTATGACAAACAGTTTAAACTTAGAGGGTTTTGTCAGAGGAGACTGGCTTATAGATCTGTATTGGAAGTGTGGATGGAGGGGAAGCACACTTTGTGTCTTGAAGTTCTTCCAGCCCCCAACATTTGACACAAAGGTCACCTTCACAGTGAAGAAAATCCGTAAACCTCCTTGCTTATGTGCTCTAGCCATCATCACAATTCACAGTTCTAGAAGTGTTTGAAGATACGATACCACTCTCAGCCTACATTTCATAGTTGCCAAGGCTTTAAATTAGTTGGTTGGTGTCTTCTGTAGCACATATTAGTGTTATTCTTAACATTTTTCTTTCTTCTGCCCTTTTGTATATTTTATGTCACTGTAACTGCAGCAGATTTGTGTGTTCATAGGAGGGAAATGTGATTTAAGAGGTCACTCACTTTCTTCACTCCTCCTTTCCCTCCTCTGCTTGTAACAGCTTGCAGACATTTTTGCTGGATGGCAACTTTCTCCAGTCCCTTCCTGATGAATTGGAGCATATGCATCATCTCAGCTACATCAGTCTCTCCTTCAATGAATTCACTGACATTCCAGAGGTGCTGGAGAAGCTGACTGCCATGGATAAGCTCTGTATGTCAGGAAACTGCATGGATACCCTGAACCTGCAGGTGTTAAAAAGGATGCCTCATATTAAGCATGTGGACCTAAGGTAGGTATTTGGAAAAGAGGAAGACTAAATGGGTCTAAATTATTGGTGTTGAAACAGTTTCTCATTGGCTCTCAGAAAAGCCCCCAGGTATGTATCTGTTAGTCCCTTGAACCGTGTTTCTGGTGGTATTGTCTGACTAGGAGCACTTGCCATGGCTTAGCACTCTGCTATGAGGAGGAGGTAGCGTTCAGGGGGATCAACAGATAGGAAGAGTTTTTGTGGAAATTAGTGTTTACACCAAAAGATCAAACAAAAGAAAGCATGGAGACTGGTGATTCCTGTAGTTCTTGTTGCTACAGTGTTAATGTTATTAATATAAATGATTGTCCCTGACCTAAAAGGTTTCTGCCTAAAATGTTACAGATGCATAAGAAGAAAAGGGCAGTGAAGGTAGAAGGACAAAAATAAATATTTTAATATTTCTTGGTATGGTAGAAAGCTTAGTCCATCATGAGTAACATTTTATTAATGCTTTCAGCAGAGTCTAAACACATCTTTATTACAAATGGCTCTGGTATGAGGTAGTTCTTGCTTCTTATGGTATTTGAAGAAGCCATCTTCTACAATCAGCTGGGCAAGGCTCAGTTCAGAGCCAAATAATGGTGAATTTTGGGACCATTTAGTTAAGCTAGTCAAGCTAAAACTTTGTGTACCGTACTGCCGTGGAGCTGTCAAAGTCAGCTTGCAGTCAAGGAAGGGCCAGCATAAGTTAAAAAAACAGCTAAAATAGATTGATGAATTCTGAAGCATTTATGGTACGGTTGAAATACATCTGTGTGTTTGTTTGCTTTTAACCTGCACACAACTACGTTTGCTTTAGAGTAGAGATGCTGTGGCTGAGCTGGCCAGGAGTTCCAGCATGGTGCAGTTCCAGCCCCCTCACTGTCTGCTGTGTCCTTTCTGCACTGGGCAGTGAGTGGTGTGGTTCTCTCAAACACTACCTGGGACGCCACGTGTCAAACGCATTGGGAAACTGTACTTGCTGCACAGGCAAGTGCTTTGCTTCAGTGAAACCAGAAGGAAGCACTGCTTGTAAATTGAGAGCAGAAAAGTAAGCTAGGGTGTTGGAGGGGACACATTACCCAATTTCTTTTAACTGGAAAATGCAGCTACTCTGAAAACGCAACTGTTACACAGAGGGCAACTCTTTCAAAAGCAAGAGCAACAACAGAACTGTAGCTATTTGCCCTTATCCTCCCTAGGGAGGCTTAGTGGGCCAGCAGAAGTTAATATACCGATTTTGGTGTTCTGATCAGAGCTGGGAATTTTTAACTGAACTCTTTGGGGTGCTCTGCAGTCTGAAACATTGCTAGGTTACAGATAATCTCATTCAGTTTTAACTTCTGGGAAAGTTGTGGAGTATTGGCAGAGTCAACATTCTGCAGTGAAGATGTGATAAAACCTGTTCTCTTTGTCTGACAGGCCCACTTGTCTTGGGTTTTTGCTTTGTTTTCTTTCAACAACCATTTTCAAGTCTCTGAATTTGCTTGCTGTGGAACATGGTGATGCAAGAGGGAATATATGAGAATTCATAAATTTCAATTTGATCTTTTAGAAAGGCAAGATACTTCAGTACCTTCAGTTTACTCATATCTGCCAGGCTTTTCTGGCAGATGCTCATGATAGGCCAGCAGAAACTGTAGATGTTTTGTTCTTTTCCAGACTGTCATGCACAAGTAAGAAACAGATCATCTTTTATTTTTATAGACACAATAAGAGTAATACTTACTATGTCGCAGAGCTTTTTATCAGTAGTTTTCAAAGTAGTTTAGAGAGGAGATTGCTGTCATCATTCCCTTGTCATGATGGATAAAACAACAAAGTGGATCCATGCTGCTTTTAAAATACTGTAACAAAGGGGGAAAATATTTAAAATTGACCTTGACCAGAACTTGGAGTCATGCTGGTTTAATCCAGGGCACCTGGTTGTAGAGTGAGCATTGGTTTGTCAGTAGGAGTCTGCCATATAACTACATTTAATCTCCTCTTTTGTCTGCCAGATTGAATTCAATTAGGAGGTTGGAGGCCACTGACATAGATTTTCTGCATCATGTGACCCAACTGGATCTCAGAGACAACAAACTGGGGGAGCTGGATGCAACAGTTTTTAACAATGTTGAAGTGTTACACTGTGAACGGAACCAGCTGGTAACCCTCAAAATCAGTGGCTATTTCCTCAAAGCACTGTATGCTTCCTCCAACGGTAAGCGCTTCCTCAGTGCAGTTGTGGTGGTGTCATCTGGCAGGGCTTCATACCTGGTTGTCTTGGGGGGTGCTTGTGGAGTGCAGTGCACATATCAGGAGGAGTCAGGAGGCTCTTGATGTGACCCTTGGATAAAGGGGTTCACATGTGCTGTGTCACGCTACTGGCAGTTTGCAGCTTCAGAAAGTGGTGTTCCAGTAACACTGGGCTACTGATTGGGAGGTTTCAAAACAGTGAAAATTAGAGAATTTGGGCTGAAATTCCTCCCTGTCTCAGCAAGGAGGGGTCTTGAAGCTGTCAGTACATTTGGTTTATTAATGGGTTGCTTTACTAACATAAGGGGTTTGTTGCTTTTCCCCAGAGCTAAGAAATTTTAAATAAGTGTCTGTTTGTGAGACAAGCTAAAACAATGTATCTTTTTGCTACTACTTGTGGCTGCTTACTCTGGCCAGAAAGCTCCAAAATCTGTAATGAGTAACTTCATTTATATTCTATAATAAAAATGCAGCCTTTTTCAGTTGAATAGCTTCTGTGTTTCCTGAATAGGATTTGTTTTATCTATCTCTGGAAGCTGCTGTTACTTAAAATACTCAGTTTTCACCACCGTTTTTATTTTTGGAGTGCTTTGGTATGGAATAAACAAAATACAAGCTCAAAGAGCTGTGTGAATTTGATGAACAGTCTGAACTGTCTTTAAAAGGCTGTCATCTCAGTGATATCCAAGCCTTTGCCTTCATTAAGTATTCATGCCAGGATCTTTGTAGCTGAGAAAAGTTCACATTATCTGAGCATGTGCTGTGTAATGTGAGCTGAGAACCCAAGTCATCCCAATATCTTGTAATCAAATGCCTGTTTGGTCTTGCTGTTCTTGCTGGCTATCCTCTATTTGCACCCTCAACCACCTTGTTTTAGTCTCATCTTCCAAGGGAACCATGATGCTTGTCACACTTTAGTGGATTTTCTGTAGGCTTAAATAAATGTCAGCTGGCTTTGTTTCAACCTTAATGCTAAGAATTACCTATCTAAATGCCTTAGACCATGTAGTACTGTTGAAGCAATCAAAATGTAACCTTGCTAGCAGTAATTGAGATGCTGTGAAAGGTCTGAAAGGCTGCCTGCAACTAGGAACTCCACATGCAAAGGATTATATAATGTGTTGAAAAAAATATTCTGGTTCTTGTCATGACCTGGAAGACTCAGATCTGTTCAGTAGCTGCTTGTTGCAGAGTGGCTAGTCTCCCTTCCCGTGCCTGTACCATTACTGATCAGTGGGGGAAACAAAAAAAAAAAACTAGAGCAGGTTTGTGATTGACTATTCTGGGCAAAGCGTGGTGGAGATGAAGTTACAACTCTAAGACAAAAATGGACAAAATGAGAATTTGCCATGAAACTTTTAAAATACTACAGTTTCACCTCTCTGATCAGTTATGCAGTCTCTGTCTTAGCAAGTACAATGTAAAGTAGTAAACGTACTCTGTCATAATAAAAAAACAAAACTCAGTCTAAAAAGGTCCTGATCCCCAGGTGTTTTTGTTTGGTGTTTTTTGTTTTGTTTTGTTTTGGGTTTTTTTGTTTGTTTTTTTTTTTTTAAGTGCAAATTTTTATCACCACTTTTGTTTTTATATTTTTTTTGCCCCTAGAACTTGTTCACCTTGATGTGTATCCTGTTCCTAATTGCCTGGCTTATATGGATATTTCTAGGTAAGAATATGTTGTTTTGTTGGTTTTTTTTTTCTTGGGCCTGCAAAATACATGTCAATGAGGCTTATGGAAAAATGGCATTCACTGGTGTTTTACTGGGTGGGAATGAAGAAAGGAATTGGACCTTGAGGTTGTGAGAAGATTGATTTCAGAGTTAGAGGATGGGCTTTTTTCTCCTGGCCAATTCTTCCCTGTTTCCTTTTTATAGATTTAATTTTATTTTTCTTGTAATGTAAACCCAAAATGTGCCTTTATAGTGAAAGGGGAAGAGTTTCCCTGATCTGAAGATTTCTTGTTGGATGGAAATATAGCACAATGATTCCAACATACACCAATATGAAACACGTATGTAAGTTCCTTTCTGGATATGTCAGCGTCACAAGCCCAGTGTAGATGATGGTTTGATGGTTTACTTGTCAGTTTGGCAGCTCCTGCAGGTCATTGTTCTCAGCAGCCCTGGCTGCAGCAGGGATGTCTGCAGTTGTCATTTGAATGCATTCTTAAATCTCCTCTCCAATGAGGGAGGTGAGATAAGGAAAGAAATGGAAAAGGAGGTGTTTTCATTTGGTTTACAATTTAAGGACTGAATCGGGAGAACACTTTATACATATGCACAATGTCTGTATTATTTAAGGAGTTACTCATCTGCCTGTTGAAGTGATAAGATTATCACTTAATTAAGTCTGCTTAAAGTGCTCTTAAGCTGTTGAGGGTGATTGTAACAATTAGCGAGTTAACTTGGGTGAATAGCCATCAACCTCAAAGTTTCATCAACCAAGAGTTACTTGCATTGTGCACCTAAATGTAAAGGGCATTGCATGAATAAACTATAGTATACCAAGTTCATGAATGAACTTGAATATTAATTTGTTCATGCTGTATACCTGAGCTTCAAGTCTGCAAGTGCCTGTTATTATTTGATGCCAGGTTTTGCATCTGTGTGTGCTAACAGAAGGTAGTGGCTATGTGAATGCACACCCCCCACCTCCTCCATGTGTTTTGTGCTGCTAATTTTTGTCTTTAAGGCAAGATACATGGGTGCACCACTGTACCTAGCTGCATGTTTTCAGTGCAGTATTTGGAACAACTTACCTCTGAGAACTTAATTTTTAGAAGGGTTAAGCTTCTGTGAAGACAAATGCAAGAAAAGCAAAACGCTTTACTTAAAGATGTACATAAAGATTTTGCTCTGTTCTGTGAGATAGCTGGGAATTGGTAGAGTGGGCTTCAGGACTGAATACATGGGGGATCAAAGAGGTGTTTCAGCTGTATAGGGTGTGAATATCTTCTGAGGAACATCTCACAAATTTTCTTTGCCATGACATCTTCATCTCTTAATACTTCTTCCCCAATAACTTGGAAGCAGCTTTTTCCATTTTCATGGTGGCTGCACATCTAGGGAGATAATAAAGCTGTTAGCTTTCTGAACTGTTCACTGAGGGCCTTACTGCCCTGATGGTGCCCTGAGAGAGCCAGAGGTAATGCGATTTCATAGGAAACGTTGTGCAGGAGATACGTTTCCTGCAGGTACTGAGGCTGTGTTCTTAATAGCCTTTACCTCTCCAATTATCATTCAGATATGCTTCTTTGTGTTCTTTATTAATAGAAATCACCTGGAAAGCCTGCCTGAGTGGGTGTGTGACAGCAGGAAACTGGAAGTGTTGGACGTTGGCCACAATCAGATCCGTGAGCTGCCTGCCCGGTGAGTCTTGCAGGCTGGTTGCACAATGTGGAACAGGATAAATGATTTAGAAATAATTGCTGATTCAGTGTTTAGCTTGTTCCAGTGAGTGTCAGGCCCGTTTTATCTCCTGATTTTATTTTTACTTTGTGGGGTGTCATCATGCTTCAAACTTCCACCCAGCCTTTCTTCTTTTACCTTCATGCAGAGAAAGCAGTGCCTTTGAACTCCAGGTAGAAGTTTTGAAGCTCTTCATACGGTTGTTTAGGCAGGAAAGTCCTTCATTTTTAATACTGAATATTAAATATTTACAGCTATAACTTTGCATGACAGTTTAGAGATCCAGAACCTGTAATTTAGTTTCAGCTGTGCCTAGAAACCCCAGTTTACAACCCTGAGTGAAAAGAGTTGAGACAAAAAGCTAAAAACTCATCAAGCAAGCAGACACCTGCAAGTAGAGCAAGCTCCTTCACTACAAAGGTGATCACTTGTCGAAGAGTCTAAACTTAAAATAAATAAAAATGATAGGAAAGCAAGTGGACAGGAAGAAAACTAGGAGTTGATTTTAAATAATTGGGTTTTTTTCGAAAGAGACCTGTTCCGGGTGGGTATACTGGTCAGGTGCTATTATTGAGAATTGTTAAGTCCCTGACTTCAGTGGAAGAGAGATGCCATTCTTGACTGCTCTTTACACTTCAAAAGAGGTGTTGTGAAAGAGGGAGAACATACTAGGCACGAAGGGTAAAATTGCATGGAGATGTTCAGAGCTATTGAAGGTTGTAGACAGCTAGCATATGATCAAATATTTTCTTTATGGAGCTGTGCAGCACAGAAGAGCATCAGAAACAACAACCAAGAAAAGGGATAATTTTGTCTGGGGCAGATGAATGTGCTATATGGTGTAAACTGACAGGTTTAGTGTCAGAAATGGGAAGAGAATACATTTTAGAAATGTGGGCAGAAAAGGATATGAAGAGATTTGCTGAGCAAACTCAGGGATCAGTGCTGGGACCAGTC